ACATTACTGACTTTATCCAGTTACTTTTATGGTACCTAAGTGCATGTTTGCATGCAATTACCTTAACAACTACTTGCAGTCAAAGTACACCTTAAACCACTATATAGACAAGAATACTTACCAAACTTAATGTAGTATCCCAAATGCCAGAGGTACTGTTTTTTGTAAATTATACTCATATATTTTACTTATATATTTTATTTGGTTTTATTTCTTCTGCCTTCTATCTAGTATTACCTTGTTCTCCACATTTCTTATCTTTTTGTATTGTATTACTTCCAAATTGGTTCTACTCAGATATGTCTGATCTTTATAATTTCTCATATTTAGTATGCCTGTTATTGATTTCCTTAAGATGTTTCAACAATGGTCTAGGATCTGCAATAAACCTATATCTTAAGCCAGATCTGCTGTTACTATTGGTCTTTTTGACCAATCTGTATTTCAAGCCAGATCTGCTATCATTATTTCTGCAGATACTCTAGGTTTTAATGTTATACAGTAACTCAGTACTATATTTAACTTCCAACACAATGTACTCTTTTATGATAAAAACTAAAACTTGTTGTACTTACAAACAGAACAATTCTAGTTATGTTTAGAGAGTTCTTTTGATTTTAGTAATATCATACTACTGTTACAAAGTAGATTTTTAGTATAGCATAGTATATTATATTATTAGTAGTTGTTATATATTTATTATTGTATTTTATATTATATTCATTATTAGTTATTAGTATAGTTATATTATAATATATAGCAGTTAGATAATAGAATCTTAATTGGCTATTAGAAGTGTGATACAGACACATGACATTGAGTAACATCTATGATGTCATTATTATCTTACAAAACTCCAAGTACCCCTATACAAGTTTCATGTATTCTAGTACAATTTACTATGCCAAATAACATAGTACAAGAATCCCAAGTATCCTCAACACAATCTCCAAGTATCCCAACACAATCCCCAGATGTCCTTGCACAATTCTAAGTGTCCCTGCACAAACCCAAGTACCTTGACACATGCTCCAAGGGTTTCAAGTACAAATAACAAATACATATAAACATTGTCCCAACTATCCTTGTACAAACTCTACTTGCCTCTGCACAATCCCCACTACTCCAAGTACAGTATCAAGAGATGTCACTCAAACCTCTACTACCTCCACTAGGTAAAAAGATATATAAAAGGTATCTTTTCTTCTTTCTTGCCAATTCTAAGTTCCTATACTTCAACTCAGACATAATGACCTTTTAATTATAAAGTGTGATATTTCTCTCTAGGGTAATTCCTACAGGCAAGGTTGTTACTATGTATTTATTTAATAAAAGTTAATCTATATACTGTTACTATCTCAAACTGTTTGCCTGCTGTTGTGTAGTAAAGTGAACTACTACACCACTCTGTATATATTTGCAATAGTCAATTACTGTACTAGGTAATCTTGTTACTTGGTTGTATTGTACTAAAAAGACTGCAACTCTGTAATACTACTATATATTGCAAGCTCTTGGCTTATTCAATAATATCAGCAGGACAATTTTGGTTATACTCAAGAAGTTACACTAACTCCAGTGATGCTGTACTACTTTGCAAATCTTATCTCATATTGGTTGATAGATTCCAGTTTTGTTCATTATAGACTTTCATATAGGTATAACCAGAACTCAATTTGATATTTTTACATTGTACAAAGAAGTTATATATCAACTTTCAAGATTTTTTCTTCTATAATTAGATTATTTAGCTATGTCAGAGATGCTTTTAATTTTGGTTAGACTAATCCTTTACTACAGTTTATTCTTGTGTTTACTGCTTCTCTCACTATTCCAGTCTTGGTTATTTTCAGACTACTTTTCCAATTAAATCCTCTTTTTAGGTTCCAATTAGGACTTGTTTGCATAATTCGTTGATTATTTTTTTAAGCAAATACCCTACAAGTTGAATGCAGAAATGTTGATACTGTCTATATTAAAAGGTGTAAGGATATTGGTATTGTCCTAATCTGAAAAACTTATATGTGCAATCTTTTTATAACTATAACCTTTTATAACAACTACTTGTTATATATAGTGTCTATACTCCATAATTGAGTCTCTTTCTAGGAATTTTTATTTCTATCATTGTACTGTACTTGGACTTAACTACAGGGCTTTGCATTCAATTACAGACTTCTTATTAGGTTACAGAAGCTAAAATCTTTCAATTTTGTTTTCAGCCAGACTTGAACCATTGATTTTAACTATAAAGGATATAAAAACTTAATCACTAAGCTATAAGACCTATACACTTTTTTTTTTTTTATTTAAGCTATTAATTTCTTTTTTTATTATTATTTTCTTTCTTTTTATACAAGTTTTTTAACTTACTAGCTGTGATATTGATGGTTTAAGCTCTATTCTTGTCTCTATTTTTTGCATTTTTTTTTACTAATATATATCATATTTTGCATACTGTTTTCATTTTCTTTTTTTTTTTTGGCTAATTAAAAAATTTTCTTTCATTATTGTAATATTTTTTGATAATATTTTGTATACTTCTCTATATTTATCTACTAAACTCTTATGATATGCACCTATACTGAATCACTTATATCTAAGAAGTTTGTTATATCTATATCTATTTTTGCAATATGCTCTTTTTGTTTGTTTAAACAAACATACTTTCTTGTTATTGTTTTTTGATTTAGATTATACAAATCTTTAATTTCTGCTATTGCTATTTTTGTTATTAGTTGTTTATTTAACTTATATCTAACTTTGTTTTAGAACTTTTTGAACTAATTATTAATCTAATAATTATGTATACTCTTGTTTGCAATGTCTTATTTAGCTAATCACATTCTGTATTGATTAAATGCTTAAATATATGTTACTCTATTTATATATTTGTTTACTTTAACTTATGTAATTGTTTACTTTGTAGTTTGTTTATGCATTGATTGATTAGCTTTTTAGGATTACAGCTAATTTTTAATTTTTTTAAAAATTTTTTAAAAATATTCAAAAAACCTTTTGATATTTTCAATAAACAGCTTCTCTAAGAAGTTGTTCTAATAAACTTATGCTGTTTCTAAGTTTATTTTCTTTTTCTTTAGTAACAAAAAATCTGTTTCTTAAAGTAATTTTTGAGTAAACTTTGATGTATTCTTTTTTTACTTTGACAAAATTAAAATTAGCAGAAAGAGTTATGTTTTTATTTTATTTTATTTTTTTTATATTTAGACATTATTATTATTGTTTATATACTATATATATATAATAATATAGTTTTTAATTTCTGATATAATTAAGTATTTAAAATCAAGTTTTTACTTAAATATGCCAAGTATTAATTATATTATATAAAACTAGATTTGTTATATAAGTATTACTAAAAAAAATCAAAAAATTTAAAAGGTTTTTTTAATAACATTTATATATAAAACACCAAAAATTTTAATAAATTATAAGTCAAAAATAAATTAATTCTATGATTAGAAATAAGAATCAAAAACTGTTAAATTAAACTAATATTTCAAAATTGTTTCTATAATATAAATTAAAATTATATTGCAAAAGATTTAAATGAGCAAGATTTATAGATAACTTGCAAATATATAATATAAAATTATTGGCAAACTACTTAAATTAAATACTAAAAATACATGTATAACTAGTATGTATCCAACTTCTCTGAAGGGTGCCTGTGTTCTAATAATTTAATAAAGCTCTGTCACCAAAAACGAAACTTTGAACTTCAAAAAAAAAAGATGCTTATAAAAAGAATATATATAATGCTTCATATTAAAAAAATTTTTTTTCTTTAATTTTTAGATTAGTATATACAGTTATATTTTCAAGTGCGCACCCTTTAAATGCACGCAATATGAAAATCCTCTCTAAATGCACACTCCTTCTAAATACACTTCTTGCTTTTTTTTTATTATGATTCCAAGTGATGTGCACTTAGAAAGGTGTGACTGTATTCAATAAAAAAGGTTACTATAAGTAACAATTGCTAATTATATCACAAAAAGATTTACCAAATGAACTTAAAATAAAAAATTTTATATATCACTTAAATTCGATTTACTCAAAATTGTTTACATGTCAAAATGTGTTTTTTGGTATGAAATACCCCATATAGGAGGTGAGGGCGACTGTAGTTGGCTGGTATTATCGCCTAGCTTCTGCCTATTACGACTCTAAATTTTAGTCAATCTGCTGAATTTTGATATTTGGCCTTTATAACTACATGCTTTCTATCTTAGAGGCATACCCGAAGACAAAGCATTTTACTCGTGGAGAAAATCTTTACCCAGGTAACCGGTTATACGGGTAATTTTATTATAGCCATATACGTATAACAATTTTTATTCGAGTATTGAAGGTGCCGTTGGAAAATAGCCAATCATTTCGATCAACATATGATCTAAACCTTATTAAATTAAATGTAACGGTAAATGAATCTTCCCTCTACAAAAACTGAGAAACAGTAGAATATGTTTTATAAACATTGATAAATAAGCAAAGCCAAGGATGCTTCTCGTACAAACAAGAAATTTTCCTTATCGATATACATTTCTTTATATAAATTAATCGTCAGCATGCATTACTTAAATACTACATATGGGTAGATTTTATCAACACATATAAAGTGTGGGGCGTTAAGATTGTTTGGTAAACTAGAAACTATTAATAAATATGACAAATCAAGAGACTGCATTGGTAGTGTTACAGTACACATTTTAAATAAGGGATCGATATTTTATAAATGATGTAATTACGGAATTTATACTAACATATATATATATACAAAGACAATTCTTTATATAAATAAAATTTGGTAACTTTTTTTTTTAGTGGAATAAGATTTTCTTTTCAAAGATTGTTTCATTAGGAATTTTATTGTTATATATGCTAGTAAGTACTTAATTCGTTCCTTTATTTTTTGTTTTCACATGATCCTTACAAATTGGGAAATCAAAAATTCTTAGAAAATCAACTGTACAGCAATGCCGCCTTTTCAAACTCTAGACCATCATACTGGTAATTACCTTGATGCTTTGTACATGAGAATTATAATTTAATTGACTGATCATTCATAATTTTTGCAGATGAGGCACTAGAGAATGAGACTCAGGAAACTCTCAATGAAAAAACATGGGCAGAATTAATCGCTTTATGCCAAGATCGAAGTAAGTTTCTATGTTTTTAGAACTTTAACCAGATTAACGTTAATATTTAATCGTACAGAGTTGAATGCGGAAGGGGATAAACTCACACTGGTACAAAGACTCTTGGATTGGGTAAATAGATATATATTGTTTAATATAATCAATAATCAACTTTATCATTAAATGATTATATGAATTAATGTTTTTCATATAAATTTTTTAAAGAAATTGAATACGCGTCCGGTTCCTGCACCCTCAACTCCGCGTCTTATTTCATTAGACGTGTCAAATGCACGACAAGATAAGATGAATACTGTATTTATGTCATTACTTCTTGATGATGATGATCTATCAAAAGAAATTCGTTATGATGAATTAGAAATAGGAAAAAAATTGGGATCAGGTGGATTTAAAGATTGCTATATGGGACGATATAAAGGGGTAATTTGTTATATATGTATAAATATTGAAATGCTTTAGAATAATTTGAGTTGAATAATTTTGTTAGGAATTGGTTGCTATTGGGGAACTTCGAGTAGTGAATTTCTCTGATTCAGATTTTAAAGAAATCAAACATGAAATAAATGTTCTCAAGTAAGTTTGGGATGTACTAGCTTATTAAATATTCATCCTTATTAATGTAGTCTAATTATAAAATGAATTTGCCAATATTCATAAAAAGGCAGCTACGTCATGAGAATATTATACACTTCATCGGTGTTTCTACAAATACAAAACATATATGTATTGTTACAGAATTATGCGATAATGGCGATTTGTTTGATTATATGAGAGCATACCCTAAAATATCATTTTCTCAGCAGGTTACGTATAATTTATTGAATTCAAATGGAATCAAATAGTATAACCAACAGGAGGAACCGACAATGTTGTACAATTAATTCAACAGGTGAAGGATTATATCTATAACATTGACGGTAGAGTGCACCAGGTGAGGGATTAGTTGTGCAGCATTGAAGTTCCACCTGTTAGTATAACTATAGATGGGGTGAAGTTACTCTTAATAAAAAGTTTTTGTTGTAATTGTTGGAATTATTTGATGGTGAAATTAGTGAAATAAGTCTTTCAATATTAAAAATTAATTTAAATTATGTCAAAAATTAATTAAAGCTAAGCTAAATCAAATACATTAGTTGTTTTTAGGTAATATTAGAAATGTTGAAATTATTGTTGAGATTAAAATGAATTTCACCTCAACTACAAGTATAACCATCTAAATGTCACGTGGATTATATGTTACTAATAATACTAATCGCTAATATTTTTTTATATATAACCAATGTGGCATTTAGCTATTATATTACATTTGATGTTCAAATGAATATTTAAACAAGAGTTTTTTAATCACTAATTTTTTCCGCAACCTTTAGATAATGTTTATGCACGATATTGCTCTGGGTGTTACTTATTTACACACACGACGTCCTAGCATTATTCATAGAGTAGGTTGAGTAGGTTGAAGGTTGTTTATAAACAATATGTGGATTTAGCTATATTAATTTATTCTTATTGGTTTTATTATTAGGATTTAAAATCGATGAATATCTTAGTAAGTAGTTCTTATTTTAATGTCTTTGTCAATCTTTTAATTGTTCTTTTTTTGAATTCGAATGATCATTAGATATCTGGCGATTTAAGAGCAAAAATTAACGATTTTGGCCTCGCTCGTATTCGGCCCAAGGCAAATGCGAGCGTGCATACACAATGTGGTACTCCAAATTGGCAAGGTAACCAAAAGTTGTAAATATTAAATATTTTATATTAGCATATTAAAGAGGTGTATAATTTTTTATAGCACCTGAATTTTGGACACCCAACCCCAGTTACACTGAAAAAGTATAAATTTACAGTATATTTTTTCTATGTTGTAATTTCGTGGATAACATTTCTTATTTAACAATATCACCTTCATTTACTTTGGTTATTAATCAGGTTGATGTAAGTGCATTTTATAAACTATCCTGAAGCTCCCAAATGTATGATGTTAATATTATTCTCCTTATAATAGGTATATGCGTGTGGGCTTATATTTTGGGAAATTTTAACGTGGGCTGAATTTGGATACCCATATCAAAATTTTTCAGAACATCAGTTATATGAAGCAGGTACGTATCGCGACATTAATGATATCTTATTATATTTACAAAACTGTCCAATGATAAATTCTATTCACCAGTAAGAGATAGAGGAATTCGTCCAGGCTTGGAAACTTTAAGATTATGTCCACTTAAGTTATTAAGTTTGGTTCAGGATATGTGGAAGAGTGTTCCAAAAGATGTAAGAATTATCTATTACCTTTTATCTTTTTGTAGTTACGTTTCTTATATGTAATTCCTAATAAATAATTTAGAGACCTAGTATGGGACTTGTAGTTGAAAAGCTTGCGGAATTTCTATCTTGAATTCGTCATTTGAATTTTTCAGGATTATTCTTTCATCTCATCCTTACAATTATTGCAAATTGTGAACATTTAATACGAGCATTTAAAATTCCAATATATTTATATTTGTTCAAAAAACATTCATTATTAATTTTCATTACCTCATTTGCTCATCACGGTATTTCAGAAAGGCGGAAGAGTTATTTGTGTAAACCTATTTTTCATTAGTTTATATACATTAGTTTATATATTAGCAAACATCATGTATCAAAAAAAAAAAAATATAAAATAACTAAATAAAAGCTGCTAACTGTACAAATGATAACTTTGTTAATAATTTTAAAATATGGATCAATGAAGTTTACATTAGTTCCGTTAACCACATGGATTTGTTAAGTTGCACCACATATTTATTATATATACTTTGGTGTTGTATGAAGTGAGTTACACACATAGTTATGAAGTTGGATTCGACAAACATGGGAAAGGTTTCGCGTCAATCAGGCATCACTCCAAGACACGATTGATCATCCCCTTTGATTTTTTTATTAAATTTTGTGATATGACGCCAGCCCTATTTTCCCGTTGACTAATATCCAAAAGTTTTAATGGATGTTTTAAATGATCCACCAAAACTTCAAAATGACTTTCCGTAAAATCATTACAATAACGAAATCCTAAAAACTCAATTCTTGTTTCAATCTTACTAATGAAGTCTGCCAATGCAATATTAGAAAATTTCCAATCCATATTAACCTCAAATTCGATTAAATGTGGAGGAAATTTTTTGGACATTAGAGGAAGTATCAATTCAACGTCCGTGACATTTATTGAATTGAAACGAGAGATTTGTTGAGAATCATTATCGGTTGGAATGTTTATATCCCAAATTTCAAAACTAATTAATTTTTGACATGTTGAGAAGAAATTAGGAAGATTTGAAATTTCAGAAGTATAAATATAAGCTGAAAATTTTAAAAGATTTGGATTATTTGAAGTACATAATTGTATCGTGTCTTTTAAAATGGTTCTAATGGGAGAAAGAGATCTTGGATCCAAATGAAGGTATTTTAACGATTTACCAGCATTCGTTAGTACCTTTGAAAGAATCGAAGCTGGAAATGGAGTCAAACCTATTGAGAGTTTAACCAATTGACTGAATGACGTAGAATCGATGTCTTCGTAATCATGAGTGCCAAAGTTTTGACATCGATCAAGATATAATTCTCGAAGATTTTTACATTCGGCTAGTTGTGAAAATGGAAACTCTCCTTGAAAATCGATCCACCCAAATTTAATTCGTGATAGAGTTAAGGTATGATTAATTAATGAGTTAAAAACTATTCGAAAATCTAAAACGCCGGATTGATCGCGAGTTCCACATTCACCACATTTTGGATGTTCGTTTGTTAAAATAAAATCTTCGAGAGATTTTTGAGAACTTACAAGACTCGTAATGTCTGCAATTCTTTCAGATGCAGCCAGATCAAATCTTGGTAAATGATTATTAATAGTGATATCAAGAGTTCGAACATTTTTTGAAACTTTAGAAGCAGTAACGAATAATCTGGTGGGATAATCTTGATCAATGACGACCAAAGATTTTAATTTGGAAAGACTTGAAGTGGCACCAGCAAGTTCAAAAATATTTATCTTGTTGTTTGTTTCACACTCCAATAATTCGAGATGTCTAGCGTAACGAATAAAAAAACGACAAAATTTTTCGTAAATTATTTTAAAATCAATAGAAATAGATGGTTTATTTCTTAACCAATTTGTAGTGGCATAACTAAGGTTTTCTGTTTTTAATGATCTAAGACATGATACATAATCATAAAAAGGTTTTTTTTCATATGTAATAATAGATTTATCGTTAATAAATAAATTTCGTTCTTCTTCGGGAAATTGAGAAATATAAATGTCAAGAAGTTTTGTTGCAGGTTCAGACCACCATTGACGTTCGAATGGATGCCTCCACAAAATTGAAATGGCTATTTCAGACCAATGTCGATTAACCAAGGTGCATGAAAATAGGTAAGAATAAGATGTTGTTAAATCTAATGGGCGTAATTCTTGAAAAATACGTTGGAGACATAACATTGGCAGCTCCGCAGCCATCAGAGTTATTTAAAAAATAACTATTGATGTCACAATAGCTGTTCGATTTTGAACCAAAATAACTGCTGATGTTACAATAGCTGTTCGATTTTGAACAAAAATAACAGTTGATGTTACAATAGCTGTTTGATTTTGAACAAACTGAAAAAATGGTAAGAGTAAAAAATTTACCAGTAGATATATAGAAATACATATATATTTGGGATTATATACATATAAAGAATTCTTTATTAATTTTCATTGTAACGGTTAATCTTTTGATAAGGTAGTTCAACATATTATTAATGTATTCACGAATTTGATGCGCGTATACTATTTATCGTTAGTTTGATGCTCTATATTTATTTCCTAAAATTACCTATCAAAAAAGATCTTCAAATTGGTAACATAGATTGACGTGTCAAACCTGTATATGCTTGCGTTTAGATTTTCTTAATAATGTGTAAATTGAACTTTAGAATTATCTATTTTTTAGATTAAGAATGTCTTATGATTCAGTCCTTATTGCATAACACCGAAATTCCTTAAATAAAGATAAGGTCGATACAAATGCTCATGAAGTTCTGTCGATCATTATAAACACTTTGTTCTAAACGTCACTAACGTTACTGTAATTTTTTTTTTTTTTAAAAAAAAAATTATAAATAAGTGAATATCAACGTTATATCTCATGCTTCATTCTGGGTGGATCTTTTGAAGCGGAAAATTTCAAATCTTCTTAGATTCTTTTTATCTTTCCATGTTTTTGGCATATCATAACTTTATATATATCACATACAGCTGCCATCAAAAGCAATTGTACACCTATCAATTCATTGAACTTTTTTCAGATTAGCTAAACACAAAAAAAAAAAAAAAAGAAATCTGTCATTTTTTTTGTGTACAGTATGTGTTGACCGGTTTAACAAAAAGAATAATAGATAAGATATAATTAGTATGGAAAGAAAAGATTAGATCTAATATTATAAATGGGCTTTCATATGTTTATATTTTTATAGTGACATACACGAATATAAATAGATTCTCTGTCCACAATTAAGAATACATCCTTTATTTTGTATATATACATTTTCAATATACATATTAAAAAAAAAAAACTTAATTAGTCGGACGCTTTATGTATATTAGTATCATTTGGCACTGGATACAGTATCCCTGAAAATAATATCCTTAAGCATCTCAATAAAATTTTTGGATTCACAAATAGTACCTTACATTGGACACAACATGTCAAAAAAAGTTTGGACATCGATTATACCCGTTCTGAAGATATATTACAACTGTTCTCGTAAATTCTAGGACAACTGATAAAAATTGACCAATAATTGTTCTGCCGAATTCGATAAGTTTTTGAATTTGGTGTTATCGGCATTACAGTAATGCGAGTTCAAGAACTTATCAAATTCGGCAGAATAATCATTGGCCAATTTTTTATAGAATTTATGAGAACAGCTGTAATAGGAAATCATTTCTTTCACATCCTTTTTCTATCACTAATTCGGTATAATATCTCATGTTCTGGAATACACCGTAACGGTAAGCACGCTTAGTCTTGTAAATTTCAGATATCATTGCAACAGTAGAGCAAGAAGCAACACTAATCAATGGATTCACATCCACCTGAGACCGGTACTTCAGTCTTCAATTTGTTGGTCCTTGCAAACATACTTACATCATAAGACAATGTATTTTTAAATTTTAAGGACATTAGTTGTTTTTCTACATCTCCGTATAGGCCTGATGTCAAGATCTTCGCGTAACAAAAACATCGAAATGTGGTTGACACAACGTTTGACTGCAATAACTATTTTCTGACCTTTAATAAAACAATGTATAGAACGAAATCTTAGTTACACGCATTCTTTTCATATATAACATCTAATTAGAGTTCTCTGCAATATAGTTAACATCTCTTACATAAGGCGGTACCACTACATTGCTTAATAATATAGTTTGTTATCAACATGGTAGTACTGCATTGTATATAGCATATAACTGTGATATTTAGGTGTTATCTATACTGCAAGAAATCTCTTTCTCACAGATCGGTTAATTATATAATTATTATTAATCAACGTTTAATTTTTGGTTCTCATAACCCGACCGGGTCATATCTTGTTAAACCTAAAATTTTAAGTACATTTACCTTTATGTTATTATATTATTGAACGCTACATTTCCATAACTATCTATTATAATAAATTCTTATTGTTCGTCCGTAAACTGATAAATTAGAATCATGACGAATAGTGTCACGTGTAGAGCTAGCATAAAGACCAATTAAATTATATTGATAAATTATTAATTTTAGCTTAATAGCATTGTTCTTTTTATTTTATTTTAAAACCTCTTTTTCATAGTTCAAAATGGTTTTAAAATTGTTTAGTGCAGCTAAGTGTTAAATTTCTTAAACAATTAAATTTAAATTGATTGAAATAAGTTTGATAAATTTTGTACCATAAACTATATGGTTTAATATGATTATTTTTTTGTTAGATCTTTTAATAGATAAAAAACAAAAAAATTTTAAATTATATATATATGTTTGCATATAGTATATATATTCTCTTGATTAGCAAATAGAATTACAATATCACGTAACTATAACCCGTAGTTTTTTAATAATATATATACTGTATATATATATATTATCCGCTTTGATACGATTTAATCATAATTTTAAAATATATTACGTATTATAAAGTCAAATACAATCTATTATATACTAATAACGTATAAGGCATTTTATTGTATGTACTTTTAGTTTTATTTGTTATTTTTTATAATGTCTATTTTATATGGTGCAAACCGGTTAATAGCCAATCTTGATCAGACCAATTTGACTAGTCTATATGCAATAGGTGCATATATTTTAACAAATTCGGTGTTTTGATTGGTTAGCGATATCAGGTAATCTTGAGATGTTCTAGCCTCCTAAATTTTATATGTAAATCGACGTATTTTGCGGAATAAAACTCCGGGTATTATAAAATATTTATCTATACTCGGATATTATACTAAAAATATTATAAGTTATATGTAAGCTAAGTCCGTATTTAATTATCAAAATTATCGAAAAAGAAAGTAAATGTATCATGCTAAAGGAGATATATAATTCCATAAAATACGGTACACTTAATTGGAAAATATAATCCGTGCCGAATTTTTACAGAAACTCATTTTTGATTCCCAAAGTAGTTACAAAACTATTTAAATATTAATAATACTATTTAATCAATGTGACCAGAAATTTGACCGGCTCAACCATTGACCAAAACATTTTTGGTTGATCAATAATTAGACCAACCCTGAATTTTAAAGTTTAATTACATACATGTGAACTATTTAGTAAAATAAACTAAAAGACATTTAATAAACTGGTTATCAGTCAGCCGACATGTCGGAGTTTATATGTTAGATTTGCATACTTATTGATCAAATTAATAGACGTACCTAAATTTATATATAATTTTATAAAATTTTTTTTATTTTTTAATTTTCTTCAAAGTTTAATATAAAAGTTAAGTCAAAAATAGTGTTTGGAACCGGTTTTATTTTTCTTATGTTAAAACCGGTTTTAATCGGATTTAACATAAGAAAAATAAAACCGGTTCCAAACTCTAGTCAAAAACTTCAGATACTTATTATTGAGTATCTGAAGATTCTTTGTACGAAATTTAACTAATAGTTAATAATAAAGTTAAAAATAGCCTTGCCCCTAAAGTTAAACGTTTATTTACAATGTTTCGACCGACACGCCGTCAATAATTATAATAAGATATGTTCCTTAAATCAAATGACCGACTCATCATCAAAAAAGTAGTGAAAATTTTAAACTTGATTTTATTTTAATTTCAATGAAAGTTATAAATAAAAGTTTTTTTTTAAGTATTACCACTTCTTACATCATCCAAGGTCTTATTCAAGAATTCTATTTTTAAAATTGAGTACGGTGTGAGGAACTGAGTGCTAGATTTGGATATACCATATTAAAAGTAGTAAATTAGTTATACCCCCGTGAGTATGCATAATGCCCGTTTTAATCATAGAAGGATGTCTTTTTGTGAGTAATTTAAATAAACCTCATTTATAATATACTTGGCTAGTTATATAAAATAAAAAATTGTCAATTATCAAGGTTAATGTTGCTTATTTAAAAAGTGCAAAAGTTAGTAGCTGTTACAATATATGTATCTATCTATAAGTAAAGAGTAAAACTTTATTGAGGCAGATGGTTTTCAAAATGGGAAAAGTACAAGCTTAGTTATAAATTTTGAATATGGTGTCATATATAATTTGTGTATAACCAGAAATTTTAAATAAGAATTTTAGTAATTTATAAGTATTAAATAAAAAGTAAATAGTCTATGTAGTTAATAATTTAATCATTGTATTAATCTCATTTTAATCTATATGTAAATAAAACTTAAGCAAAGTTTGAGATTTGGAATTAATTCGAGTTTTTTTGATTTAGAATTATAGTCACCTAAATATAATTTTCCAATTTAGGCCATGAGCTTTCTCTACTAAAGTTTTGATTTGGATAGGCATTTTAAAATTTGTAATTTTATTATAACTGTAGTCATAAACTAGGGATGGCCATTGCACATGGAAATATTTCAGATTTCAGAATCTCGCGATTCTGGCTTGCATTAACAGCAACTACCATAATGCGGGCCAGAATTGAGGCAGTAGTTCAAAAAATCCTCGATTTGACCATCCCTAATCACAACCAAACTATAGTAATACTTTCTTGTTTGAATATTAATCTTTCGGAATTACATTGTTGGACATAGAACCGTCGGGATTCGGATTTTCAGGATTAGTATTATTAATTGTTACCTATCTGCCTTTTCTACCTGAGATTTTTTCGGGTTGATAGGCAATTGAAATTGGTAATTCGGATGGTAACTGTAGTGATAACGATTTGGGTATTTTTTCTGTTTGGATATTAATCTTTCGGAATTACATTGTTGGATATAGAACCGTCGGGATTCGGATTTTCAGGATTAGTATTAGTAATTGTCACTCATCTGCTCGTCAGAATATTGATCTTTCGGACGGAATATAGAGCCATCGGGGATTTTGATCTTCAGGATTAATATTATTAATTTTCACGCATTTGATTGGTTGATTAATGTCGATCATTTAATTTATTTGATAATCTATGACATAATTAGTAATACTGCAATTTTGGGAATGTTACCTCAAGTCTCTTGGAATAGCAAATGATGATCTGAATAGGATCAATATACACAAGTTTTACAACCAATTTTGTGCACCCTTACCAAGAACGTATCTACTTTTTTAATCTGTTATATTTGGAATGAGCACAATATTGATGATTTACTTATATTCGGGTCCAATTTTATTAGTTAAACATAATAACTTTCGTCGAATCTTCTGCCCCCAAATCAGAAAGTGTTCAAGGTTCTAATTTGTAATATACGGTACTTAATTTTACCTATATATCATGTGTTTACTAATTTCTCCCACCACTTTACTATCGGAGTACATAAAATTGATTAATAACATAGAAACTCCGATATGAGTGCATGAGGGTGAAAACCTGTAACCAATCATAATAAGTCATTAAATGTGTTTCCAGGTTTTCACTCATGCACTCATATGTGAAGAATTAGTAGAACCAATCAGAAGTGGTGGAGAAAATTAGTAAACTTATATATAATTATGTACTTTTTATACAAATTTATTAATTATTATTTACTATATGTGTAATTAAAGTTTGAACATGATTTGGATATGCTTTGGATTAGCGAGCCGCAAGGATTCAGGTCCGATCAGATCCGCTTATGTATCAACTTTGGTCTTATAGTTATAAGATCTGTGCGAGTACGGATCCATATGGGTCATGATTGCTTTCGAATAGGGTTTTCTTCGTCCAGTACCAATTTAAGGATCTGTTCGGGCAATGCTCGATCCGGTCGTAATAAAAAAATGACCGAAATAGAAAATCAATGAACGCAAAAGATGAACAAGATTGAGACTATAGGTGCTGGTGAAGCTGGTGAAATGCTTGGTGAATGGTGGTGAAATTGGTGAAATTTAATATAGCAACCAATCGGATTTTAGATAGCCACCAGTTTTACTAGCATCTATAATTGAAGCAAAGTTCCGAATTAATCGGTGTGTAAAATATCTAAGTTATGTCAATTGTGTATATTGTAAAAATATACAACCATAAGAGAGACGGATTCGGATCGAATCCGGATCTACTTGACTCCGATTCGGATTTCGGGTCGGATCCAGATCTTTAAAAATGTCCGTCTCACACAGGAATGTTACTTTGGACAATTATGGACATTTGAATGACATATTAGCGTTAGACCCTATAACCGAATTTGAAACAGATTCAGATTATCGTTCCGGGAAATGCACATTTTTTTCCGGAATAATAACATATGTAAAATTATTGGTTATTTTCGAGTAAAAATCAAATTCTGGTGATCTTTTGCTTTTAATCTTGTGCTCTATTAAAATTAGAAGCCGAATACTAATTTTTACCCGGAGTTATCGGGATTTTAAGAAAATAACTAGGAATTTCATTTGTTCAACAGGGGAGAATGTCCCAAATATGAAAATGATTCCGACATGGTTACACGGAGAACAACAACCGATCATGCGGTTAATTTTAGCAAGTCACATGCACGTTAGCCAATCATGTTGCAAGAAAAAGTTGTGGGATCAAACGAATATATTATAGGGCGAGGTAAAGGCATTAATTCATCCGTAATATTTTTGAAAGTTAAGCTATCTGAGCTTTGTAAAATACGTATTGTAAACGTATAAAAAAACCTTTATCAATTGTGTAATGACCGGAACTCGGGTAATCGTTTCCTAATTTGGGACGTTCTCCCCTGTGTTGTTTTGTTCTGACAAAATACGTAAGCATTTCGGAACGATTATCGGAGCAAATCGGAAGCTGATTTTCAATTTTTTTTATATGGAGATGGAACATGCCAAGACTAGGGATGACAAATGATTTAAAACAGTTTTATATTGTTTTGAAATGATAATTACATGGTTTAAAACATCATCAACATCATACAGCAGAGACAGTGCCCGATCCAAAGTGAATCCCTCTCGCCTGTGATCAATCACAAATTAAATTATTTATGTTGGATTCAATTGTGATGAATATAATCCCTCACCAGTTTTAATATATGTGTAACATTAACGGTCTCTGCTGTTTCAACATCATGGTTAATAATGATATGGTTATGATAATAATTATAAATTCAAATCTTCCGACTTCTTTACTTTGTAACACAAACTGACGTCAAGAAACATGCATATTTCGATTAAGAAATAAATTTACATGACGACGCTTAAGTTGAAGTTAACAAATTAGATATTGAAATCAACCAATTAGATACAGTAATTTCAGCTTCATCCATCAATGTCATAATCAACAATGTTTTAAAACATTCTATTAAATCAAGTTAAAAAGCATAAAAATTATTTAAAAGCGAGGACATCAAAAACGTACAAAATTCGACAGGGGTGTACAGGATTGTTTGTCAAAACCGATAATCATCACCTTGTCTCGGTGTTAGCCTATGATGTCATAATGGATAATATCACTAAGACAATATCACTAGGTCTAATTCGTAAATCATATGACCTTTTCGTCATGATTTTACGAATTGAACTCTGTTTACCTTGTTTTAAAGTCTTATCATTTTACGGAGGGTGAAATTCGCGTTTTTAATATCAGTAGGATGACCATCTATGCTTACTATTTTAATATCAGTAACGTAACCACTTCTGACGCGGGTTTACCCTATCATAACATCTTGATTTATTTTTGATATCTCTACTCATATAATTTATAATACATATATAATGCATTAGTATTACATATAAGTATTATATGTTAAAGTTGTTTACATTGTGTTCAAGTCATGACTCTTTATATCGATATTATTTGTACATCTGAGATACAGTATTCTAGCGAGCAAATTTTGCCGAAGATTAAGATAACGATAGATGTTATCTCAACATGCGGAAGGTTAGATTGTTTCGTTTTAGTCTTCTTGATAAGGTTAGCATAAATCTTTGATAATAAGTTTACGTAATGCAAATGTATTATTATATAGGTGGATTTTAATGACCAAGGAAATCTATATGTAGAGGTCAGCCGCGAAAACCTAACACCGAAAATCAATCTGTTTTTAAAGATTCAAATTTTCATCTATGAAGCTGTTTTTCGTTAGTTATCATATCATTTCCTTTAAAACGCCTTTTCGACAATTAACTGTTCGACAGAACCATTTTAACTGACAAACTCAAATATTGACAAACATTTTTACGCACCAATAGATTGACAGTAATTTTCTGGCAACTATTACTGATAATCCTTTCCTTCACAATATCGTTTTTCAGACAGTTATCATTACCCCTTTCTCGTTAGTAATCCTCTATAAAACAAACAATAAATCGGATCAACCATTAAACCTAAGTGAATAATATCGGAGGAAATGATACTATCAAGAAAATGGAACAGATTGTCAGAAAATGATACTATTGGGGAAGTGATATATTAGAGAAGCATCTGTACGAGGGAAGTGGTTGCAAGGGGAAATGATAGGAACCGGTTGTGGTGTTTATGATGACAAAACGAAGGATTTCCAATACTTAATTGAGTGATTAATATAACTTATAGTTTGATCAGCTGTCGATTCAATATTCACGAGAACTATACAAGTTTTATTGATGTAAAGTATACCATAATAAGTAAAGTCGAATAGATTGTTATCTGAAATGTAGCGGGGGAACATGGATGCCTATGTAAGCAATATAAAAGCAATGCATAAACCTTTGCCTGCACGCGTATCTAAATTTATACATTCGTGTAACATGAAAGTTTACGTGTTTGTGACATTTGATACGCGTACTACAAATCGAATCTTTGTAGTATAGAAAGTATTAAAAGAAATTAGCCAGTTTTTCTGTTCTTCGGACTATATCGGTTTCTGTCGTATTTGTAAGAATGAATAGTATATATATATAATGTTTGTACTATTCGAAAAAATATAATTGACCAGGCTTTATTTACTTTTTTGAAAAAATTATATTTTGCTTTGGGCTATGTAGAACTACTACGACTAGCATACCACAAAGGTGACTCAACAGAAGAGCATAATGTTGTTATCCGAAATTGTTTTGAGCTTGTAGAAGCCGAAATGTCTAAATTAAAAAATATATATAATCCGATTTATTAGCAGTATCCGAACTTGTTTTTATTGTGGATTGCACGCTAATACAAAATAAATTTAATAAAAAATGGTTACTTGTTTATCAAGCAGGTTTAATTATATATACTTTCTAAAAGACATCTGCTTAAGAATTTTTTTACATTTTTTATGAGTACTTTTTATCACAGTATTTCACTATGTTAAAAGTTTATAACTTGAATCTGGATTACTATCAATCACAAACTAGTTACTTTTAATATACAAGCTCTTTTTATCACTAATTTAAACATTTCATCATAATATTTATTTAGTCAAATATTTAGGCATTTAGTCAAATTTAAGATTTTGACATTTCGACAAAAAATAATGCCATGTCGAAATATATTTCGACATAAAATTGTCTAAATGGTTGACTAAATAGGGTATTTCGACTAACAACATTAGAAGAGCATGGACAATTTGGGTCATCGGGACACTGGAGATCTTAAATGTCACTAAGATCCCGGTACTATTAAATATAGAATTATTGAATTGGCGTTACTGCATACGACATTACGTTTAAATGCCGCAAAAACCGTATTTCCGCACTAATCAGGTTTCAATTCTTATCTTGCATAATATAGCCCCTGATTAGAGATGGGCGATTTTCAATACGCATCATTGAGAAATATTACCACCAAATTTTTTTTACGTAAAAAAAAAAACTGTGGTATTTGCAAAACAAGCCTGACCTAATTTTAAAGTTATATCATTCAGATTGTATTTGTGAATCGTAGTAAGTAATAATCAGTCGTAATAAGCAATAATATCGGTTTTATAAACCAATTTCGGCTATTTGACCAATCAAATCTGGACATTATAGCAACCAAATCTTTTTGAACATTCTAGCAATCAAATTCAGGCAGCAATATCTCCTGATCTAGTGGTCTAAATCACGCGATTTTGGTACCATATGCTCATCATAACAAGACGAGTGAATGGTATCGAAATCACATAATTTTACTACTAGATCATGAGATATTTCTGTCCGAAATGATGTCTAAATTTGATTGCTAGAATGTTCAAATTTGATTGCTACTATGTCTGAATTTGATTGCTAGAATGTCCAAATTTGATTGCTATAATGTCCAAATTTGATTGGTCAGATTTTCGAAATTGGTATACAAAACCGATTTTGATACGTAAAAATATGTAAGGGTAAAAAAATAAGTATTTATTACTTATTTTATTACCTTGCCCATCTCTAACCTGATAGCATTATGATAATACATAATTGAGAGTACTAATTCTAGTTAGTAATATATAATCAAGTGATTACATGCTTAATACAAATTACAAAAGTGACAGAATGGATCGTCAACTTTCTTCAATTTATGCATCATCATAACAGGCATTTTTTTTTTAGAAATTAAGTCCGGCAGAATGAAAATTAAAGTTTAGATTTACAGATAAAGTATTTAGATTATTCCAATTATGTCACTTTTTTGAGGTATCCATAGTGCAAATAACAAACACCTATGGTGCAAACAGCAATACCCTGCAGATTTCGGTGTTCATATACTCTAAGAGTTCATGATATAATTCAGTATGTGTTCAAAGCCAATCAAAATCGATCATCAGTATCGGGTCATCAGAATCAGTTGTTGAATATTGAAAGCATTATGGCAAGATAGAAACAACACGCTAGCCCCTTAGAAAATCTGATCTCATGACATAGCTGACAGATAACTCTACGACGGGATCAAATTCTTCAGGGCTGGGTGTCACGACTATCATTTTCTATGTGCAGTATAGGGCCCATTGATAAAAAGTATTTTTAATCCTCAGAAAAATTTAATAAAGCAATCTAATAACTCTTTTTATTCTTATTACTTTCGAAAGTAATATATACTCCTAAAAGGGAAGCAGCCAATCAACGGTTCAAATTTGAGTACTGCCAAAGACAACGGGGTTTTTTTTAGCGGCACACGTTTTGATGATTCTGGACCAGACTGAAATAAAATTCGAACACGTGCGAAAGAGCAAAAGCAAAGAAAGCAAAATATTCGATAACTGATGTTTAGATAAATCTTTATACAATAATTAAAAATGCCGGGAGCAAGCTTTACATACTACATATATGAAGTAACACTTCAACCCTACTTCTTTTTAAACCAACGCCTAACTTTAAATTTCTATCTTCGTATACAATTTCCTTTTTTTGGGTTGCATTACTCGCGAATATAAGTAAAGTCGATTCACCATAAGTGCACTTCCCCGTCATTTTCTCTCTTTAAGTGCACATAGTTTGTTCAATATAATTTATATAGTTGAGAGTAAATAACTCTTTATAAGCCACGTTTCATAAATACATCTTTTTCTGACAACATGCACTTATGGAGGGGTCGATTGTATTTAATTTTTTCTAAAAAAATACTTTATATTATATAAATGAGAACTGATCTAAGTAGAGATTTGACTATTAAAGAAAATCTTCACCTGGATATTATTAAACTATCCGGATTATCCAGGTACTGTAAGTGCCGATTTTTACCCGGTCCAACCCCTATGTCTAGGAAAATGTCAGTGCGGAATCTTATAACATCATAAAATCTACCATAATAAATAGACTTTATGACATTATAATTCCGATCAGTTCATGTAAAATTAAATAGAAAACGATCATATGAAAGTCACCTCGTGAGAGCGTTGCTCATTTCTGCCGATTATGTAGTACAAGACAATAAAAAACATGAAAAAATACAGTATAGGCGACCCCTATTATAAATCAATTGATTAATAATTGGTTTTATTAATGAGGCCACCTATATCGATATTATACTAAACCTCACTATTTTTATAAAAGTGCCATTTTGATGCTTATATTATCAATTCTAATTGACTATTTTTAATAAATTGGTTACGTAGGAATGCAAATCGAAATGTTTTAAAGCACAATGCTTTTATATTGATTTAAACGGATTTTATCTATTTTAAATGACTTGACCATCGTAGGAATAAAATGATGTAAGGATGAAAGGGTTTTACATAAAAAATGGCATGGCCGAAGCTAAAATTAATAATCAGAAGTGATAGTTTCAATTTCACCGACAAAGTAATGGTTGTTGTCGTTAAAGGGATTAGCTGAATTAAGCAAACAATTGATCACCAAATCTAATCATTTGGTCCCCAAATTTACCAAATTATATATTAAATCAATCAATGTTAAACCCCGAAAAATTTTTTCAGAACCCTGATCTGTACTGATAATTAAGGGTTGGGTTGATCCAATTCTTAACCCACTCCAATACATTAGACTTACTCCAGCATTTCACTCCGGGTTGCTCCATAGCTACTCCGGGTTACTCCAAATTTAAAGATAAAAGTTTAAACCTACTCCAACTTGGGTTGGGTTCTACTCCGGAGTGCTCCGGAGCAAGCTACTCCATTAACAACCCACTGATAATGTGTTTACACTATTATCATAATTTCTGAAATCTTTTTTGTCGTTCAGTAAATTGCCTAACTCTCTGGAAATTGCATAATTGCCTCCAGACTGAAGGTCCGAAGACAGCGATGTAGTTTCTGGAGAGTTGGGTAATTTACCGAACGACCATAAAGATTTCGGGTAATGAGCAGATTTTTCAGAAATTATGATAATAGCTGTAACCCATCTTCCCACCCCCGACGCATCTCATTAGACACAGGAATGTATTAAAATGACGCATTATCTCAGTCAAAATCTATATTTACTTATTAGTGGTAGTTTACAAATACGCCGTAATGGGTTAGTTCAATTTTTAAAAGAACTTGTTGGTGAATTGGTTGTCAATGAAATGATGCGGATCCAGAATTTTACTATTTGAACTTAGCGATATGTCCTGTTATGGCGGTTGTCGCTCAATTCCCCGAAAGTTATTTACCCTCCAACACATTTCTCCGACATGATATTTCATATACAACACATTTTTTCGATAAGACATATATTTGACATTACGTGTTTTCGACAATCCTTTTCTTAGACAAGACATTTCTCCGACAATTATTCCCTCAACATAAAATTGAACTGATTTAGCTTTAGGGTTAGCTGGTTTGGAGTTAGTGTTAATTAGAATTATATGTCGGAAAATAATTTTCGGAAAAATGTCTTGTCTAAGAGAAGGATTGTCGAAAACATGTAATGTCAAGTATATTGATTTGTCATCGAAAAAATGTAAATAGCATGTCGGTATTATCGTGTTGTTGGCGGGTAAATAACTTTCGGGGAATCGTACGTAACAGTTATGACCTGTTATAGGCCAACACTGAAAATAAGTAGATGCGGAATACCCTAGTGTAAGGGCTTAACACTTAAAGTCTTTACCCTTATCCTGAGGGCTTAAACAGTGATACCCATGTCCGGCTTATGAAGCCTATATAATATTTCATCTATGAGCTGTTGGAATTATACTAAAATTTATGTATATCAAATTT